AATATGGTGCTACTGAAAATGTTATCTGCACAGGAGGATGTGCGGATGCCGTTCAGATTCTTGAAAGTGTCTGTGGGGTTCAGTGGCATTTCTATTTTCTGTCTTCCCTCAGAGTGCCGTGCCGCTGAGGATGAGGACGCCACTGGCTGGACTGATAGTGGCATTGAAGATGGCAGACTTTCATTAAAGATGGAGCGCGGCTTACTTCCACTTCTCGCGTCTTGCAGAAATGGAGCAGAAGGTTCTTGCTCAGACCAGCGCTCTGCAGACATTTGACCACTCCAAATTTCATATTACATTACATTACAGGTCATTTAGCTGACGCTTTTATCCAAAGCGACTTACATTACAATTTAAACTCACTCACACAAACTGCACCCGCTCTAACCCCTGCGCCACGATGACTCATATATGCATGCAAGTATTGTAACACATTCCCTTTTCGGAAAAGTCCATAGGCAACCCTCTTTAAGAGTTTATGAATGAAAGGTCCTCCTTTACTTGCGATATTTTACTAAAATCGTATGCACAAGTTCCTTAGAATTCAGCTGCTCAGCATGTGGCAGCGTCTCACTTAATCAAGCTCCACTCATTTATCACCACTTCCTGCCTCCTGAGAATTCAAGCTGAGGCATGTCTCTCTCTCTAATGACCACCCTCCACACATCCTGCTGCTCCAGCAAGACAGAGAGGTGAAAATGGGAGACTAAAGAGCGTAATCTCTCAAACAGGCAGTTGAGGGCTCCAATCTTGGGTGTTTAACCCCCTGTAAGCCCCTTAAATACGCGGTTTACAGGGCCAGAACTGATGGGCTAAAACCCCCCACAGATTGTCTACAAACTACTGGACTCTGACACAGCGTGAGGACACAGATTGAAGGATTCCCTGCCATGAGTACAGCAGCCACTTCATCCTCCCGTAGCCTAAGGCAAAGGATTGGATGGGTTTAATTGGTATCGGAGGTACCACAGTCATGTTCATGATCATATGATCGTATGGTTAAATGGAGGATGCTGCCGGCGACTGATGACCTACTACCAACTGCTAACTAGGGATAGAGGAGGATTTTAATTCAATATCAGGTCTGGCTTTGAAATTGGGTTTGGCAGGTGAGAAAATAGCTACATCCTGTCACCTCAGAAGAGTAGGACATGACAGAAAACATCTCGCTACCTCATATTGACCTGACTTTGAACCATGGTAATGGTACCTCTAGAGGAAAACCTGCACAAAGGATTATCAAGGGTGTCTGAGTGGGTACTCTGAAAATAAGGGTTAATGATGCCATCTACTGGCTGGTTCAGCAACACTTGAATCGTATGTATTTCTGACACAGAACACTCATATTTTCTCTTCACACGCTAGCCCATCAGAAACAACAGAATGATCAGGAGACCTGCTGCCTGCAGTAAATCTCTGTGAAAGAATGATTTAATTGTTGCTCAGGAAATATAATAAAATACAAGTTGTAGAGTATTAGAAATAAACTGACGACCCGGTTCATAAATTAACAATTAATAAAATGCATTTAGTGTACACCAGAATACAGCCATGATTCTGGAACTATGTATCAATAAGGTAAGGAGAATATTGTAAAACCAACGTAATTTTGAAACTGTAATCAATAGAATAATACCAATGTACAGCTATGATTGTATTCGATGTAATGTAATCAACCGAAATGCATGCATGTAATACTTGACAACTGAAATCCCAGTTGCCTTGAACTCACCAGGAGACCACTCCCAGGGGTGTGGACACTAATTTTCACACCTTTACTGATCTGCACAAATACCTTTAGGCACCCATTGTTCTAGGAGTTAGCTGGTGGAGGCAAGAGACAGTCACTATGGGGGGGTCAATGGGCCCTGTGGCCTGTTGATGGCCAGCGGCTCCTCAGCTAATATGTCCTTTTTAGCACAACACCTTTTCTTTTATTAAATACTTTTGATTTTAACTCTTCAATACAAGATGTCTTCTGTCCGTCTGGAGTTTCTTCATTTTTGAAATACAACAAAGTACACACGCACACACACACTGACTTACACAAAGCAAATAAGAGTGGGGCCAATAAGACGGGATGAAAGGAAATAATAAGCAATATTTTTGTTGAGAGAGTTTTGACAGGGTTTTGTCCCTGGGGACTTCTTTCCAATTTCCGTGCGTGAAGGCTAAGGTCGGACCAATAACGTTAGTCTGTAGCTGCCGTTTTGAACTTGTGAATGTGAATCGGATTCTCATAGAAGTAAATTGCTAACACCTGTAACATAAACGGTAGATGTATTTACTAACAGTACTATCTATGAGTGAAAACAAACTGAGGCCTGTGGTTAGCGTTAGCAACGTTAGCTCATGCTAAAGGTTAAGAGGTGGTGGATTCTGTCAGGTCGAGTGTTGGTGTCCGTTAGCTGGTATGCTAACGTCAACGATCGACTTGCTCTTATCGCTTGGTCTGTGTTACGTGCTAACTAACCTTGTTCACAAGGTCAATAAATATATACAAACAAACAACTACACCATACTTGCTCCATCCGCATGTGTCTTGCACTTTATAATGTGAGAAGAATGGCTTCCTTTTTGCTCCCTGTGTTCAAATACCATTTGCATTTCATCCCCAGCTCCAAATGCATTCGGTCTCACAACTATTTAGATCTTCTTTCTTGCCATAAGTGTTATACACTTGATCACCACCTCAAAGGCGCCTCGTTGGTATTTTCCAGATATCTTTTTCAATCCCAGTTAGCCAACCACAGTCCCTTCTGACTCACCGAGCATGCTGTCACCACCACACCGGTAATGTGCAGAAGTTTATCTCTCTCATATTGCCCCTCCCAGATATCTTTGGGTTTGCTAACAGGCAAGAGTAGGAGACGTCTGGAACCATTACCTAAAATGAAGATGTGTGCTGTAGGATATTAGAAATAAACTGACGACCCGGTTCATAAATTAATAAAATGCATTTAGTGTACACCAGAATACAGCCATGATTATGGAACTGTGTAATCAATAAAGTAATGAGAATATTGTAAAACCACTGTAATTTTGAAACTGTAATCAATGTACAGCTATGATTGTATTCAATGTAATGTAATCAACTGAAATGCATGCATACTGATATTGACTGAGAGAAATTCAAAAGTTACATTGAACTCACCAGGAGACCACTCCCAGAGGTGTGGACATTAACTTTCACACCTTTACGGATCTGTATAAATACCTGCAGGCAACCATTATTCTCAAGTTCGCTGGTGGAGACAGCAGACGGGCACTAGGGATGGTCAACACCCTCTCTTCTATTAAATACTTTTGATTTTAACTTTTCGATCCGCGATGTCCTTTGTCCGTCCGGTGTTTCTTCATTTTGAACACAACAGTGCTGACATTGCTGATTAATTAGTTTGCTCTTTGGCTTTTTAACATGCAATAGTTGTTTGCTGGAGAAGTGGAGAATGAGCCCTGAGGTATTTGCATCATCTCAGAAAGACACATCAGCAGGTGGATCTGATTGATTCATTATTGATGAGTTGTAGGTATTACAGGTGTCTTCCACAGACTGGCCTGCTCTGTTCTCACGGATTACATCATTGTAACCGTGAGACCTGAGGACAAAGTTGATGCTTCTGGGTTGCTCTTGCTCAGCTAAAGGGGTGGGCTCCACGTGTAGCTTACTGAGGGTAAATCTCTCTCTTCCCGTCCTGTCCTGAGCTGGTATACTATGAGGTCAGAAAACCGCGAAAAGTAGGGATTTAAAAAAAATCACATATGTTAATAAATAATTCTGTTTTTTTTCCAGCCTGCTTTGAAAAAGGTCTACTATGAAAGCAGTTTCGTTGATGGACCTGCAGGCCCAACTGACTATCTGTGTATGACTGTGTCTGTCCAGGAGAGGGTAGTATTTAACATGAACTGTAGTTATAATTGGAAATGTGGCGCCACAAAACACTTGAAATTGTGACTCATCCTGTCATGTTGCATGGGAACATTGTTAGAAAGTACTGCGTTGTAGGCAAATTCAATATTTATAGTTGGTAATGCTGCTGATCTGATGTCTGAGTCTCAAAATCGGCAGGTCCATGCCCCCCACTATTTAATTACTCTTTTTAGGAAGGGGGGGGGGGTTGAACCCACCAAGAGCTTTGATGGGATACACTGTACATAGACAAACATGTGTCTTAAACTTGACTCTTCACTTTACGAGGAGTGTGATACTGTGAGAAGCAAACCAAACCGTAAAGCATAAAGATCTTTTTACTAGTCACTTCTGCCAGTAGATGGCGGCGACAGGCATCAAATAGCAAGTGTCACTTTTAAGCAAAAGCCACATAAAGCACCGGAGTGCTGCAACTCCACAATAACTGTACTCAGAAAAACAGAGGAGATATTTTGTCCTGTTTTAGCTCATCCCAACAAGCATACACGTATCATTATCGGCCTTGCCTTTATTTTGGCCTTCAACCCCTCTTTATCCTAAATCATGATAAAGAAGGAGAACCAGCTGCAAATGGGTCCCTTTTCAACCTTTTAGACGCTTTCTTCTTTTTGTGGCATTGCCTTATAGCGTCTCCCTCATTTTGAAATAAGAACAATATCTGGCTTTGTTTGACAAACAAACAAAGAAATGTACATTTGAGGGGTTTGCAAATTAAGTAATGCGTTTGTAACATGTGATGTATATTCAACTTCCACAAAGAAACCCCCCCAAAAAAAAAAAAAGTTTAAATAATAATTCCTTGAATAACGTATTTAAGTATTTTGCCTTTGTTTGCCGTATTAATACAAAAGGTGAAATACTTGGTTTCAAATGCTATAAAACTCCTGACCATGCCCCCCCCCCCCCCCCCTCCATCCCATTGGGGAAGCAGTGCCTCCTAGTTGGGGCACTTAGCTGAAGTAAACACAGAGGGAGGGGAGTGCGCGCGAGCCGACCACAGCGAAAAGTGTTGCGCGCGGGACGGACTGCCCTTAGCCCGCACGCACCACTCCTCCTGCTCCTTCTCCTCCTCCTCCTCCTCCTCCTCCTCCTCCTCCTCCTCCTCCACCTCCTCCTGCGTCCGAGGGAAGACCCCGAACCTCCGCCGTGATGCGCTCCCACTCATCTCAACCAATGATGTGAAGAAAAAAAAGAGAAGAAAAAAAAAATCCGCCAGAAACGATTGTCAGATGTTTCAAACTCATCGTCGCTTCGTTGTACTTGAGTGCCGCCTGTTTTCAACCCCATCATCACCCGGCTTGCAGTCGGGCTCCAGCACAGACATCCACAGGGGTTACCTGGTGTGAGATGCGGCAATGTCCCGAGGATTGTGCCAACGCGTAAACTCTTGCGGCTCCGCATGGATTTTGTCCGCGCTCGTGTTCGCGGTGAACGTGATCGACGTGGACGCGTACAGCTGTCATGAAGTGAGGACCGCTTTCCAGCTGCGGCAGGTCGGCCCCCCGCAGCGCGTACCGGAGACACCTGGCAGAGGTGAGTTTGGCGACCTCAGAGCGGAGAGCGCATGGGGAGGTCACAGTTTAGTTAATGGATCCGCAGGCATTTTATCATCACATTGTATTTTATCTAAAAAAAGAAAGAAAGATGGCATTTCAGCAATCGGGCGTCCCAATGTGTTGAAAAGTAATGGCAATAAACCCAATCAAAAAAACGAAAGTTTTCCATGAATGTCGCCTGTTTATGACTATTCTGTGCGTCTGTGCCGTCATGGAGTGTGATGGTCCTTAAGTGACAAACAGTGAAAGGCCGAGAGACAACATTCCTCCCCGTCTTCCCTTTTGTAATAGTGTCTCTCCTCATCGTTGAGACCTTTTTTTAAAGCATTGACCACAGTATCTGTCTGATGTTGGTACGGTGTGAGGCCATTCGGGAAGTGTATGTGATACATACTTGTGCCTCCTGATTTCCTCCACAATTCACAGCTTCAGATGCCATCCAGCTGCTTATCATGCAAGCTGGCCGTTTGGAGAGATTACACAATTATTTAGAGGAGAAGCTGCCCAGCGCATTCACAAATTGCTGAGGCAGCGTTTCCAAACGAGAACAAGGCCTCACACAGTGGATTAGGGGTGCAATATTGTGTCTAGACAGGGCAAGTGATTTATCAGTTATCTTCAGATTGACATGCAGAAGTCAGCCTCCATGCACTGGTCAACTCTTTTGGCCCCTTTCGATTTGCGGGATGATTTAGTCCCTAAATTGTACTGTGCAAACTCCCAGAACAGGGCTAGCGTCTCTGCTGACCGATTGTCTTTTTCTTCAGATTTTTGTTTGAGCGATGCTTGGAAGCAACTTCGAATGCCTTGAAGATTTTGTGGCTTGTGCTTTTCTCCACGCTGAGAAAAAAGTTATATTACAAGAACAAACACATGGTTTCAAATCGGTTTTTGGAGGCAAAATGCATTTTGAGTTGGTTTAGGCTTTGGTACAACTATGCGAGGTTTGCTTTAAAGTATTTTCTGCAAGAGACTGCACACAATCTTAACAAAGGGTATCATACTTCTTCTACGTGGAACCATTTCAATTGTCATACAATCAAGTCTGAATTATCATTATGATTTTAGCCTTAGTTATTTCCTTTTAAATCTTTTTTAAAACTGCTATGAATCTCATTTTTTCGTTATTGTGAGTCAAAGATTTAAGTGAATCTTTACTGTACACGCACGCCAGTAGATGAGTGCACAGCTATCTGCAGTAGGTGCCGGACCAGAATCCTCGCTGCAAGGGTGTCACATGCAGTTTGGTGGCAGCTTAGGTGTCACCCTGTCTGAGTCTGCAAGCTTTAACAGGGAGAAGAGCGACAGAGAGCCGGGTGGGAAACATACTTAGAGGTGCATCCAAACCATTCGATATGTTTGTTTAGCGGGGTGTCACTACTAGCAACAGAGGACGTGCGTTTCATTGCACGCTGTAGTTTTGGGTTCTCTCTTAAAGACAATGGAAGTACTTTGGTCTTTTGAGGATGCCAGCGGCCTGCATGACAAGCTTTTACTGTCTGCAGTGCATTGGCAGGAGCTTTTTTATGAGGATCTCACCCTGCAATTGCAGCTGTTGGTTCTTTTTGCTTTTATAATTGACAGTGAGTAAACTGCAGCATTCACAGTACAGTGCAAAGGGGTATGCAATAGTCTTACTTCTTATCCATCTTACTTCTACATGCACCCTCCATCTATATCTGGGACGTTTTTGAAAAATGTGGGTGACAGCTTCCAGATACAAAATGCAGCCCTTCAAACTATTAATTGGCATAGATGTTTTTTGTTTGTTCAAAAGGTGTGGTGAACTGCAGTTTTGTGCGTTCATACTCCACCACGTCTCTGCTGTACCTTCACCTTCACAGCTAATCAAACATTGCTGCAGCTTCAGAACATTTTGGGCTTCCAACACGTTTTTATTTTTATTTGCACTTGCACGTACCTGAGAGGTTGTTTTGGGTCAGGCGCAATCTCGTCTTCAAAGCGCTGACCAATGCAAAGGGGTGTCAGGGTGGGACGTGTGGTGTATTTGTGTGTGTGTGTGTGTGTGTGTACACACACATTTATGCTACTCTGCTTCAGTTCTCAGATCAAATGCCAATAAAAGCGACTTTTGAAATTTGAAGTGGCAAAAGCCCTTTTCACAGTCTGATGTTTGTCTTAGGATACAGTGCTGCGTTTCATTCATTTGTGGTGAACTGATTTCCCACTAAGCGCCAGAAGTGTGGCAGCAGGGAGTTCCAGAGCGAGCCACTTGGATACGATCCTATTCTGCGGAATAGATATTTTATTTAGCATTTTTTTATTGTATGAAAACACGAGTTGCATTACGTAGTGATTGTCCCTTATGGTTAGACTTCTTTACTTAAGCATGTAGGAAACATGTAGCAATAGTTAAATTAAAAAAGAATTCCTACTCCTTTTAATGTTATTTATTTTCAGTTTAATTAGGACTACAACGCAACATTTGCTTTCCAGGCATTAAGTGTTTGTTCTATTGACCGCACCTTTTCAAACAGCCACTTTATCTGCAGGCCAGATTGAGCAGCAGGGAACCTAGATAATCAGACATGCAGTTGCTTATCCTGTGATTATTTTGAAGAGTTATGACCGCTTATATATGGTGGTACACAGCCAAATGCTCCATATTGAGATTACCACAGGGTGCTGATATAGCTCTTTGGAGATCGTTTGGAAAGCAGGCTGCTAGCAGTGCTGTTCACAGACCCACTAATCCTGCAGCTGGCTCCTTAGATAATGTCCTCAGATATGATCAACCTATTTTCCAGCTCGTTTAAAATCTGATTGAACGAGGCTTATGTGATGGCATACGTACCACACACGGAGCATTTAGTTGAACCTATTACTCCGCTGCCCTTCTCTGGTGTGCTCAGTCATTAACAGCTGTTTTAAAGTGAAGGAGAAAGTGTCTTCGGTCTTGAATACAAGGCAAGCAGGGCCATGTGTTAATAACGAGGGTATGTGTTATTGCATGTCACCACATCCTTAACCAGTTACACCATCAAAAGCCTTGGCAAGCTCTCAGAGCAACGTGTTCTTTGATTGGCTGTAGTTATTTTTGATTCCCTTTTTAACGCGGCTCTTCTCAGTGGGGGAGCCGGCACATGATGCAAACACCTACTGTGCGCCACACACACTTAAACATCACTCAGCGCCTGTGTTTTGTTTCCTTGTTGTCATCTCTCAATATCTGTCATGGGCAATTCAGATAAGAACATTGTATTTTGCATAAACTGAAACTTTTAGAGGAATAAACAAAGCAAAATGACCTTCTGCGACAATGTCACACACGATACAGCTTATTGGAGTGACGAGCACCTCGGACGCTCACGCTCCAGCACCCCAGCCTTAAGAGCGTCGCCCCAGTCTGAGGCTGATTACTCTGTCACAGTCGGTTTCTATTCTCTACGCAACATTGCTTGTTGGATTTCAGCCGTATAGTCTACCTTGCTTTTCAGTGGATTGTGTACCCTCGTGGATTGCCACCGTGGATGCGATTTAACGAGGTCATACACTGCCGTCTTCAATACCCCTCTGATTGTATTACCGTTTACAGACGAAGGTTCTGTCACTCCAGGGACAGGAGCCTTACATGAGAAAGGATGACAGATTATTTATATTTTCTGTGGCCAAGCACCCATCAGATTGCACGCTGCTTGATCAAGTCTGCGTCTGTCCACTTCTCTCTTATGGCCCTGTCTGTCCAACCCGTCTGCCTGGCTTCGGCCCCTGTGTCAATCACCGGAGGCCGTACGGGGTCAGGGAAATCTGGGAAACCTTCCAGTGGCGTTTTAAGGTTGTCCAAAAAAGCAGGTATGCAGCACAGTCCCTTTGAGATGTGTTTTCATTCAACACGGTCCATCCAAAACACTGCAATTCTGTATATAGTAAATATCCTGTATGTTCAGTGGATCTAGGAACTTCAAATAGGAACTGGCTTCCTGAGGCAGGAGAAGGGCAACTGCATTAATTTCCTACTTTGCAACAAAGTTATTCTTGTTTCCTGAAAATTATCAAAACATCAGCATCAGGAAATTGCAACCCTCACGTCCATCAACGCATTGCAAATCAAAACAACATTTCCATACCATATTCAGGAAATAAATCATTTTATGAGTGCAGGAGTGTTTGAAAAGGGCGGTTTCAACTTATGATCTTGTCAGCAGTATCCTATATTCATCTCTGGTGCTGTAGTACCACATGTTGAGAATATGCTATGAGGTAGGAGGGTAAAATACAGTGGTAGAGTTTCTCCACTCAGGAGCTGTGACTTGTGCAATGAAGGGCACTGAGGTGTTGCTGAAGGGATTGTGGCTAACAAGGCGACCCCTGAGCCATGACTTTAATACGGCAAATTACTTCAGAGGTATTTGTCACCTGAGGACGATTAAGGGAATTAGGATTCAGAGTTGACGTTCAATTTGGAGAGCAACGTGTGTTAAGGTTTAGCCAGGCGGAATGAGTGGCACTCACATTGGGCACTAATTACAGCGGACCTGTAGAATTCTGACCTCTTTTCCCATTGGAGACCTATTATACAACATTAAAAAGGCAAGAGATGTTATTGAAAATCCCACTAAAATCTCCGCTTGTAAACAAAATAACAAACAATTCTAGAAAAATTCTGACACAAAACTGCTGACCCTCATATTCTGCCATGTATCTGTTCAGCATATTAAAAATGTTTTGATCATTTTTTTATTTTAGGTTGAACTTCCCCTTTAAGTATTTACACAAATGACACACCCAATTCTCACTGGCAAAGTCAGGTGCATTTACAGGTCCGACTGTTAATTTGATTATTTCTATGGCATAGAGTCAAACTCCACAAGAATGTTGTTGAAAAAGACCAGTTATGTGATACATGCAATAATGAGGTACTTCAGGGTCAACCTAGAATGGAAACACATTTAAAAGCCATTGTAGTTGTGTGGGTGTGTGTTTGTGTGAGAGAGGTCACCGAGGCACCCGTGTGAAGTAGCTACAGGGTCCCGTAGCTCCAATTGGAGAGATAGTATACATGCAATTACTCTGTGGTGGAGTGAAACCTAAACAAATTTAACTGACAATTTGGGTTAAGATAACACATCCAAACCTAAATCCCAAATCCATTTAGGAATGCTAAATTTCCAAAGTCGAGTCAGAGACCATTACAATCAATCCAATCAGAAGAGAAGCAGGACTCGAAAACTGTTGTTGAGTCATGGTCCCTGAGCAATTGGAAAGAGCTTGAGCAATTTGGCAATGAATAATGGAGAGAATTGACCAGATGTTCACAACTGTTACTGTTGCCAAAGGTGCCAACAAAACGTTTGACTAAAGGAGTCAACGCAGATGTTTGTTTGCGTTATGTTGCTATTGAACGCCCTTTCAAAAACTCATCACCTCAAATGCTTTATTTTCATTCAACAATGGAACATGAATGTCTAATGAGGAGTCAATGTCTTTTACGAGTTAAGTAAACTGTGTCCGTACACTGAACATGTGAATGGGGTGTGGTTTAACTAATGCACGTGTTACTTAAAACAAGGCAGTCCGATATTAATAGATGTGTCCTACATTGTAGACTTCAGAGCCTCTTAGAGTCCTTGGAAGACTGCTGCCCTGAGCACTCAACACAAAGCTCACCCTTCAAGCATAAGCCACTAAAATGCTGTTTGTTAATATACTGTAGGTTTAATTTTTTCAAAGATAAATAAAAGACGGGGGCTCAGTTTTTTCCGTTGGACACAAATAGTGACACGGCTTCGAATGATTCCAGAAGGTGCCGTGGTATATTCGTGACACGGTTAGCTTGTCCTCCCGACTGCTGTGGTGGCTTTAACTGCCAAAGTCTTCCCGAGTATCACTTACTCCATGAAGCTACTCGCAAGGGACGGAGAGGCCAGGCCGGATTCCACTGTGAGTCCCTGGATATTAGTTTCATATCACAGATAACACACCAACACAAAGGGGAGAAAGAGCCAGCAAGGCAAAGAGAACAGGGTCAGGGACCCGCGCACTAAATATGAGGGAAATAACAACATTAACACAGAACCAGACAATACATCATGCTTTCAACGGGCAACGGATGTTTGACACTCGTCACACGTTTCCCATATAAACCACCGCCTTCAATGAGCGTTGGGTTCTAATCACTATCGCAAAAGTAAAGGTTGAGCCTGTTTTACCAATCAGCTTGTTAGTGCACCTTTATTTATTGAGTGACTGACTAACTTTTTTTTTATTAGTTGGTGGAAACCTGAAAGATATGAATTGTTGGACACAGTAGCATCTAGAGAAGGCATCTATTGCTTATTGTTGAACTAGAAATGGGTTCTTGAATTGATTACCCTGGTTTTACATTTGGCGATGTCATGAACGGATTCATTGAGGAGTTCATGTTAATGTATTACGACCTGTGAACGACCATTATTTGTGTGTTCAAACTGAGTGGTTTTCTCATATTACAAACGTCAGTCCAATTTGGAAAATGGCTCTGCCAAGCCTAGTAGGAGAGGTCCATTGAGAAGTAGCAGATGTAAGGCTCCATTTCAGGTGCAAACTATACATAACGATGGTCCAGGGAAATGACAGAGTGCTATCCCTCCACACACATACACATACACAACCAGCAAAGGACTTTGAAGGAACACTGTCAATGGGGAAACGGTGTCAACAGTTGAAAAAGTGGTCTGCTACAGTGATGGAGATAATGAGCTGTGTGGGGCAGGACAGCCAGTTATGACTTCACTCGTCTGGCTCTGGGATGGGAACAAATGAAGCCTCACTGGGTAATTAAGAGACACCCAGGCCTCACTGGGATATGCCAGGCAAATGGGAGAGAGGGAGCAGAAAGGGAAAGAGGGATTGAGAATGCAACCCTATTGTGTTTCATGAAGGGATTTGGACAGTGAGGCACTGGTCTTGCGGTCCGTTCTAAGGCCATGCTTTAGGCTCTGGTTACAACACCTGCCTCCAGCCCCCCCGGTCCAGCCCTCCCCCCTGTGAAATGAGTTATCATATCAGACTTCTGCATTATGGAAATGTCCTTGCGCAAAATAATGTGTGGGAAAGAACCATTTTAATAGGCCTTGCTAATTGTGGCCAGTCCTGGTGATGTCATCACAGCGTTTGCATATGAAGCATGGGTGAGAAGCAGGTGACACTGGCAGGACAGGGCGTGCTCTGATTTTCGGCTGATGTAATTGTGCCTGATTGAGCGGTTCATTGAATCACAGTATTTGGAGTTAGGTCATTGCCTTCATGTAGTTGTTCTGAGCTGCAGTATTACAATGACTACTATGACTAATGTCTAGTTTGAGAGATGATGCAGATTATTGTATGTGTGTCTGTGAGTGAGTGACAGTACATTTAGCATGTTTGCATTGCAAAATGCTTGTTTTTTTATGTTTTTATGAGCCATGCATGTACGATTTGACGATGTGTGCAATTGAACAAGCCTGTAAGATATTTATAAATTTAGCTGAGACAGTATTTTTAGCAAGAAACGTGGATGAATTCTTGGTTTACTTTCTCACCCTCCCATGGTGGCTCCTCTGTCTCCAAACAGAGTTATTGCCTGTCTATCTATGTGCATACTCAGGACACTATACATATACCCACACATATTTGCAGAGTGCAGTGTGGAATCATATATCTACCTCACAGGATAAAATAAGTTATATTATCTCATTCAAAATGAGAAACCATAATCCTCCTGAGCTTCCATTCCCTATGCATGTGTTACCACTGACTCAAAGAAAAAAAGAAACATAAATGCTGATTAAAAAAGAAAGTTAAAGAATGATATTTCCCTTTCTGCTTGACTTTCCTAGATGTGGATCTGATGGTTTGTAAGCACCAGGGTCCGTCATGCTGCACCCGGAAGATGGAGGAGAGTTACCAGTTGGCTGTAAAAAGAGAAACCCTGCACAACATTCAGTCCTACAGCTATGAGCTTGAGCACCTCATCTCCGGCCACTCGGATGCCTTCCAGGGTAAGTGCTGGGCTCGAGGGATCAGCCTCGGGCTGGATGCAATTGGCCTCAGTGTCTGGATTGTTGTTTTTGATGAACAGGAAAGATGTTTTGTATTTCAGTCCAATGAATTGTCAGTTTTGTGCTTACACACTGTGACTTTCGCCGCCCACAATGCTATCTCCTATATTAGTAAAAAACCTTATGCCAATCTGACCCTGAAGTTATCCCCTGTTTTGAATCCAATTACAATTTTTTGCTTCAAAAGAATACATATTTGTCCGGAATGTGGTGAAAACAAGTTTTAACTTAGTTCCTGGGGGTCACGGAAGCTGGCGTGCAGGCACACGTGCAGTCGGGAAATGGGCAGAGCACCCCAACCCCCCCCCCCTTCTTCTGTGGGTTTGGCAGCAAAATGACCGTGAAGAAGGATTTCTGAGGTGAGGGCAAATAGGGTCAAAAAAGGGTACAGAGGTCGTTTTCTCTGACTTGTCTCTTTGAACATTATCGGATCCTGCTTTCAGGACAAAAACAAATTACTATTACTGGAGCCCTTGAACAAATAGGAGTAGTTTTGGCGAATGTGAACAGTAATTCTGTTTAAACTGAGACTTGCCAGCCAAGGGTTTTGTAGTTTTCTACTGAATCGAGCCGTGCACTAGTTCCCCAAGCTTGTCCTTCCTCTTTCCCTGGTGATTGCAGTGTCGTTTAAATTATAGAATTTTCAGAAATAGACCAAGTTTCCCTCCCAAAAACCTCCAAACAACATCCAACAGGCTGGGAGACCGCTTCTGGATGTTCTTTGGCATTAAAAGAATTGGTTCCTTGCAATTCGTTTTTATAAGACAATGGAATGCTTGGACGCCATGTTGGCCGAGTCCTGTTTTATGATGGATGGGAACAGTTGTGGGAAATGTATTATTTTCAGACATTGTTGTCATGGAGATAATTAGATTACTATTATGTTTAAACTATAAATGTCATGTGAACAGTATATATTACTGTCACTTATTGTTTAACATTCTAAAACACTGCCACATTATTACATTCCAGGCACTTCAGACATTAGAGGCATTTGCAGGAATAGAAGGAACCGTGTTTGAATGGTGTTCCTGCTGTTTGTCCTTTTCATCATCATCAAGATCTTTCCCTTCTTACCTCATGTCTGAGCCGGTCTCAAGAATTAAAATCGCTGTTTCATATATCCAGAAAAGGCAGAGATGGAAAATAACAATGGAATAACAGTAGGAACTGGACTATGACGGTGCTGAAAATGATGATGTCACTATCCCTTATTCCACAAGGCCTTCTATGGACAGTCTCTGTGCTGTCTGAGTGCCTCACGTGGAATGTGAAGTAGCAAGTGGCTCATATACCGCATGGAGGAATGAGAATATGACTTTGGGTGATGCCATGGGGCTGTTATTCACACGCTGGGTGGGTGGTATATCTTTCATCTCCAACGCCTTTTTTGTTTGTACTGCATCTATCCAAAAAGGCACCATGTACAGTTCACCGCCCATCTAATTGTCTGAAAAAATCTCTCTGCTCTTCTCTTGTTGATGATCATGTATTTAATAATACTTTCATTATGTGGCCCCTATTTTCACTGCAGTTTTCTGTCTGTTGTTCAAGTCAGACCATAAATGCTTTAAGTCCTATCAGTGTGTGCTTTCCTTATCCACTGTAGCTTCTCAACTCCGCATCACTCCTGCTGATTTCCAAAGTTTAGCCAAAAGGACAAGCCCATTGGAAATGAGATGGTGTGTGTTTAAGGAGTGTGTCTGTGTGTGTGTGTGTGTGTGTGTGCGTGTGTGAGAGTGTTTTCCTTGGCCTGCCTTTGTTTTGACAGGCCTAAATGCCCTACTGTGCTTTGTCATGTGTGGGAGTTGTCATGTCATGAACATGACCCCATAAACACAAACCACATTTCCGAAAGATTTCTTTTTTCTGCAAATAGTCCTGATACAGTATTAAGGAACAGGTTCAATTGTGGTCCGCGAGATCAATATTTGCGAGTCCCAAAGATGGCTGTCAGTCCGTAGTGGTCTTAGTTGGTGGACACCTCTCTGTGTCCAGATTATCTGAGAGAACGTTGGATGTGTCCCTTCGCCTCTGCCACTAGTTGATCATTTGATCTGAGGTGGCCCTCGTATAACTGACTTGTTCAGTCCAGTATGCAGCCCATCAAAATGTGTTTGCGTGTGCGTGTACATGACAGGTGGCGACGATGAGCAAGAGAGAAATATCTGGGTATACTATACTCGAGAGCAGATGTCTAGAAAATGCTGACACATTTGATCACGAGTGTCATCGATATGAGGGGGACCTGGCCCACAGCTAAAGGCCATGACATCTGTGTTCGTGTGAGGACGTGTGTGTGTGTGTGTGTGTGTGTGTGTGTGCGCGCGTCTGTAATGAGGGTGTTCAAGCATTCGTTCACATTTGAGAAGGAGCGAAAGTGAGGGAGAGAGGGAGAGAGAGAGAGAGAGAGAGAAAGAGAGAGAGAGAGAGAGAGAGGCCATGGCAAGGACGGAGCCTTTCCTCCTTGAGGTAACATAATTAGCAGACACCCCCCCCCACACACCCAACACCATATGCAGGAGAGTTCCAGACAAAGTGATCAAAACCCCAACCTGAGGGCACAGGGATACTTGAGGGCCCTCAGACTGGTGTGAAAAAAAAAGAATCGGCTGCAGGGATTGTTGGTCTCCCCCATGTGACTATTTGTCCCACCCCAGGCTTTCACAGGTGGCTGAGCACAACCTACTGTAATTGTCCCCGTGCCCCCTTTTGGAATTTTCATCCCCCCCCGCCCCCGTCTCCCTCCCGCCAAATGTCTCTCATCCCCTCCCTCCAGACATAGCGAGGAAGACGAGGTTATCCAGCCTCAGGCCGCATTGTTTGTCAGTCTTCAGGACAAATCAGCACACCTGATTGTAAAGGCAACGGTTGTAATTTAAGGAGATGCCGATGATTTGTGGGGGTGTTTGGTGGGCTTGTGTGCAGACAAAAAAAAATGCTCTTACACTGCGATCCCCCACTTCTCTGCAAGTTCTCTCACTTACTTTAGCATGTGATCTTTTCAGCCGGTGCTCTCATCGGTGCATCATTATTTTTTTTCCTCTCACTTCACGTCTGCATGTATTTTTCTGTGCAGATGTTTTGACCGACAGGGTTTTTACTCTAGAGGCTGACGCTTGGACACGCTGCGCTGCACCATGAGCTCATGCTCAAATTAGGGAGGATATCCGGAATACATCCCTACACGTCTCATTTAATCACACAGGGTGGAGGTAAAAAGGCATTTATGGAGCTAATAGTGAGAGTGAATCTATTGTGTAATCGAGTGTGCACTTCTGTGTGTGTGTGTGTGTGTGTGTGGGTCCTGAGCATGTTTGTGTTCTATCCACGCCTCTCGAGTCTCCTAAGTAGACATGACACATAGAGGAACGATTTGTGTGCCTCAGAATTTGCTGGGGAAGAAGGGGGAATGGGAGAGGAGGGGTGGAGGGGGGGGCAAAGAGGGAGGAGAGAGGAAAAAGCTCAAAGCCTTGCACAGTCATAAAGTCACACGTTAAAGCTTCCCTAATTACCTCTGCTTTTCATCTGCCCCCCTCACATCAGAGCAAATATGTGAGAATCCAGGGAAGGGAGTCGGGCCTTTTAGAGGGATCAGAACAATGAGACGGGGGGGGGCTTGTGGTTTGAGAAAAGGTTCCAGTGAAAGTGTGCACAGGTGTGTTTGAGTATAGTCCTGTCAGGTGTGCCTGTCATCTGGTCTGCCTTTAAAGAACGTGCAATAAAAAAAGCGTATTTTTTTTTCCCACTGTAAATTCTCTGTATACCGCTGCTCCCCCTTTTTCTCCCTCGTGGTCTCTCTCTGTCTGTGGTCCATGCTTGGCCAGCTTTGGTTGCTCAACAAGAGCATGCTGGGTCTTGGTGGGCGCAAGGCCAGCAGCTTATGTGCTGGCATGTGCGCCGCAGGAAACGCTCACGTCTCACAGACAACCCAGCTGCCACATACACAAATAAACACGGAATACATCTCCATCTTCTTTGGCGCCCCTTAAAGTCTCCTTCCCATACGCTTCGTCATTGTTATTTTGCTCCCCAAAAGCCTCAGTCTTCCTCACCAACCATCCATGCTCTCCAATATTTCCTCCGAGGCCTAAACAAATACGAAGCCTGTGTAGATTAGCTTGCCGCCAGTCGCAACAGCCATAATTTGACGTGGCTTGAAATGAAACTGAGATAAATACCTATTTGTTTCTTGCCAACACCATCTTTTCCCTTATGTAAACTAAACTTCCTCAGTCTCCCTGGGATTGCATGAGCTTGATGGAAGTTTCTTGGTAATTAGACAGAGCTGCATCGCTCGGGCTTGTTCTCCGTCCAAGAGAATTTGGCCTTTCTGGAACATAATCTGTCTGCCTGGCTGATGGGATTTGCTGCTGATCGGTCCAGCCGGGCCTGTTTCTGCGTCCTGTCTGAGTCTGCTGCACCTGTCCTTCCCAGAACGATCCCCAAAGCCATGAAGTGTGTGTGTGTGTGTGTGTGTGTGTGTGCGTTTGAGAACATTTTTGTGTACACATGGTATGCAAAATCTTCATCTAAAAATGTCTGATAACCAACACAATTAACTCCTCCGTTTGACGTGATTGTTCAGTTTAATGAATGAGACATTGTCAAGGCAAATGACAAATAAAGAAATACGTTCATGCTGCAAGTGATAGTGGTTGTTGAACCTTGAACATTCAAAACTGGCCAGACTTGCATTTCTGTAAGGCAGCTCATCGGTGTGTTACATGTGCTTATGATGCATTAGTGGATGAACATCGAGATATGCACGGCTCTGAGACTCGAAAACCGTTACGTCAGCCCAAAGTACGTCGGAGTTGGCTTTCCATGTCCCGTCTCTGGCCCTCAACCCACTTTCCTCATTACGCCCTGCTGCAGGACACCTCCTCTGCTTCCTCTCCTCCTTCCCCCTCGCCTCTATGGCTCCTAGCACACCATTA